AATAATTGATTTGAAACATTGTTTCATTATGGGGGGTGATAACAAAGCGTATGTACGCTTGAGGGGAGGGGTCTTGATATGCGTACCATGTGCAACTAGGGGGGAGGGGGGTCAATTTTTGGCCTAATGTTTGCGTACGTACTTTATGAATGACCCCTTACTCGTTTTTATTCACTGAAAACCCATAGAAAAATCAATATTCAATACAAAATACAAAATAAAACTATGATAATAAAAATAATTTTAAATTTAATTACAAACTATAAAACAAATACACTGTTACCCAGTGTATATCAGAAATTAATACAAAATTTTAATTTAATTACTATATTTGACACCAATTCACATGTCTAGACAGTTGGATTCAACAATTGATTCATTAAAACGTGAAAATAATTGTTTGAAAACAGATTGAAATATAAATTACTGTCAAATAAATGCTAAAAATATTTGCAATTTTTGACAGAAATGAATGAAACGATTGAAACAAATACTGAAAACGATTTCATGAAACAAATCAATGCTTTAAAAGACTTTTAAAATTGTTTCATTTGTTTGAGTAATAAATCGCTGATTAATAATAACTTTAACGGCTTTTGAGGTATTTGTAAAACATTTTGTGATTAAAAAGTAATTAAAAACTTATCGAAACTGTTCAGCAATTAATGAGTTGTCAAACGAGTGGTGAATCCGTGGATCAGTTGATAATCACAAGTGAAGGCAATTATAAGACATGAAGAAATCAATGGATTGAGAAGTGCTGAAGAAGTGGTCACTATATCGGACAGTGAGTCAAACGTATGGCCCAAATGTAATGTTAACTCTGAGTTAACCGATGAGTCTATCGATGGTAGTGTCGGTGATAATGCATACATACCTCAAGACATGAATACAAATCACAAGAATTGAGAGAAAAGCGATTCAAATGAGAGTCAAAATGGAAGTGAATTAAACACAAAATCAATGAATAATCGCAAAACAAATACCAAACGAAAGCTCAAGAAATAGGGGAAAAGTGTGGACACAGACAGCGATTCAGAAGAATACAGCAATGGTTCCAGTGGTGAAGAAATTAGAGTTGATTTTCAGACACAGATTAGTTGCACATAATGTTTATAATAAAATATTTTCACATTTTTGAATACAAAATAAGTTTATATTCTATGCATAATGTATTAAATAGTAATCATAATCACTAACTCGTAATTGTAATACTGATTGTAAAAGTAAATTCACAAATAATTCAGTTATTTGAAGATTTCTAAGTAACAAAAATTAATACTATATTCGTATGAGTTATGGAGTACTGTATTACTGATTATAACAAAATTTATCTATTAAATGATAAATTATAAAATAATTTTAAGCTTTTTCGTAGTCTTTGTGGTAATGAAAGTGGTGTCACATCTCGTCTGATAACAGTTGTCAAGAATTGATAGAAAAATGAGTTTTTATTAGATTTCAGTCCATTTAATGTTGGCTTGAATTCCGTGTGATTTGTGATAATATTCCTATCGATAGCCCACTTGTCATAGTTAGCCAACAATTCACTGCATTCCGGACGTGTAGTCCAATTGGGCAAGATCATTTTGGACAACCATTTACATAACTGAGACACTGATGAGTTTAGAGTTTTATTATCCGGTGAATATGATTGCGAGCTATATATAGGCAGAAATAAATGTTTATTTTAAATATTTTGCAATAAATGAATCAAGTTATAATTTGAAATTCAAATTTTGAATATCATACATTTTTGATCCAATAAGTAGAACATTTGGGTTAAATAATTCACGACAAATTCGTGCCAAACTATATATATCGGATTTGTGGTCATATTTGTCACCATCAAAAACTTCCGGTGCCATATATCTCTGTGTCCCTCTGTCTGAGGTATGTTTTTGTGAAGTCCTGTTGTGAATGAGTTTGTCGTGAACTGTAGCCAATCCGAGGTCACATAACTTCACAAATCTGTCTTTTTCTACATTATAGGCAATCACTATGTTTTCGGGTTTGAGGTCTCTGTGAATCATCTGTGGATTCAATCCATGCAAGTATTGGACGGCTTCTAAGATCTGACGGAATATTTCACACGAAATGAAATACTCGAAGGGATTCATGGGATCTCCCGATTGTCTCTCAAATACTTGTGCTTTGACTTCAAGTATATTCCGAAGACTTTGTGAACACAACTCCATCTGAATGTAACCAAAATCTGGTTCAGTCCATGAGTGGTAATATCTGACCACATATTCTGATCTAACATTCATTAGATTTTGCACTTCTTTTTCATCAAAATCTGAATATTTATATAAAAGTAAATTAAAAATTATTTTACAATTAAATTTAAAATCTTTTTAAATTACCTTCAATTTTAAAGCGTTTGACGGCAAATACCTGTCCACCAAATTTGTGTTTCACTCGCAATACTGTCCCAAAACCACCCGATCCTATGACTTCCAACTGATCAAATGTTTTATCATAACATTCATTAAACCGAAGTTTATGATCAGTTTCAATGCGATGTGTTTTGTATGTGATTTGGTGTTCATTAGCGAAGTAATCAATAAAATTATTATACTTTGTTTCAATCAATTGATTTCCGTATAAATGATATAACTTGCAGTTTGTCAACACAACTTTGAAGTCTGTATAATTAGTATAAAACGAGTCAATTTGTGTTAAATCTATAAAATAATTTGTTGTTTTCAATTGTTTTAGTATTACAAAACTAATACGTTTATCACTTGAAAGATAAACTCCACAAAAATATATGAAACCATTGTTTGAGAGAAAATAAGTCATAGTTCCCGATGACGTAATAGTTTGGATACCATTCATATCATGTATGAGTTTAGGACTTAATATGTATGCGTTCTGTTCGTTCACTATATTGTGCCCCAATTTACACCAACTATTGTCACCCCAACTGAACACAAGTCCTTCACAAGTGATGGCAAATGAATGATGAGAATTGCAATAAATTGTTTGGATTTTATGATTATTAGGGAATTGTAGGAGAATTGGTTCACTAATACTATCATTTTGTTTGTCTCCACAACCAATCTGTCCCGAACTATTACATCCCCACCCATACACCTGTCCACTGGATGTGAGGGCCAGTGAGTGATGGGAACCACAACTGATTTGTTGGACATCTTTGTCGTCGAAATACGATATTCTCTCGGGTTTTGAATAAACCCCAAATGGTGTCCAATGTCTACCCAACTGTCCGTATATATTGTAACCCCAACCGTAGACATGGTTCACACTATTCATAGCCAACACAAAGTCATATCCAATAATAAATGTCTGAATGTTTTGATGACATAATTCTTTGATAACTTGTGGCGAATCAATGGACTTGTTGTGACCCAATCCAAGACATCCTTTTCTATTATCTCCCAATCCATACACCATATCATCGGTGGTTATGAATAGTATATTATGTACATTATATAATTTTGCATCAAAGTCATACTTAAAAACATGAAATAATGTAATTTTTTGTTTCATATTTGGATCGATTTTATCACAAATTGTAAACTTCTCTAAAATTGAACACATTTTCAAATTTAAAAAATTCAATTTGTATTAAAAATTCTATATTTTATGTTAATTGATAATCAATTATTTATCATTTAATCATAATTAACTTGTTTTTAAATACTGTTATGAATCACATAAAATAGCAAAATAATTATGTGTATAGTATACACTGTATACGTATATATATGGTATACAGTGGTGCGGGTCTATTGACCTAAAAACCAATTGACCTAAACTTAAANAATAACTTAATGACCAGTAGGTAAATATACCAGATGACCAGTGTAAAATGTTCCCCTTGACCTAACCTAACCTTACCTATCCTTACAATGGTCAAAAGTCTATTGGTCATTAAGTTATTTAAGTTTAGGTCAATTGGTTTTTAGGTCAATTTGCCAGTTTCCGTGTACAGTATATTATTGCTTAATAATATTTTCACAATTAACAAAATAATCATTTATTAAATAAATTATATTTAAAACTAATTGTATTATTAGTTTACTGAACAGTATTGTAATAAATGAATGCAATTGTTGTTTACAAATAGATTGTGTTATTATAGCAACAGATATGCATTTAATTCACTCGTATTGCACTAAATTTACTTCAACTGAGAACACAATTCAATGCGATATCGATATTAAAGTCAATGATAAGTAGTTCCACTTAACCCTTAACCTAGATAATATTGCTACTGTTTAGTGACTTAATATTATGTATAGAAATATTTATACATGGACTTTTATGTATTAATCAACACTCGTTATGATTAATAAATTATTCATTCAATATTGACTTTCAATGTGTTACTAACAGTAACAGTAAAACTTTAAATACATTTCTAAATGCTCCCGGATTTGGTGGCAAAACGTTTGTTTTATTATCAATAATATTAGAAACTTAGAAATTGAAGCAAACAAAATGTAATCAGGGTTAGTTCGTTCGTATAAGGCTTAAATGAGAACTAAATTCAAAGCATAAATGAAACTGGAGTTTTAAAATACTGTATTATAGTTACCATACTAAAGCCAAAGGGTTAAACATGGATTAGCCTAGATTATTTGATACGTTCGTGATATTACTGATTATTGTGATATTGAATGTAAAGTTTAACTATAATATTATACTTCATAATAATTTCCATAAATTCAATTACAATATTGATTACAAAACATAAAACACTTTATTATAAATAAAAATACAAAAGTTTGTAAATTTAATATATTTTATACAATTATTGTCAGTAATACTAATATACATTATAAGTTACCATAAGTTTCAACGCACACACACAGTCAGCCTAATCGCACCGGTAGTCCAGTGGACACTCACTTCTTTCCCTTGACTTTCAAATGCTTTTTCAAGTGATTAGTGAGAGAGCCCTTTAAGGCGGTCCTAAACTCACAGCCCGGCCACTCGCACCGTAAGCTTTTCGGTTTCGGGGGTTTCGGCTTACCGTCCGACTCGTGTGCTTTCATATGATTGCTGAGGGCTTTCCTACCGGTGCATCCGTACTCACAGCCCGGCCACGAGCACCGGTACGCCTTAAAGCCCGTATGCGTCCACTCGTGCTTTCGCAGCGAATTGCTGTCCGTATAGGACTTCTCACAGCCCGGCCAATGGCACCGGTAGCTTATTTCGCGCGTATGGACGGCTTTTCTATGCACAATTACCTTATCCTTTGTGGTATACCGGCGCTCGCAGCCCGGCCACTCGCACCGGTACTTCAGCGACTCGTCGTGAACGCCCATATGGTTCGTGAGCTGTGTCTGGTTCCTGAAGCGGGCCTCGCACTGAGAGCACCGGTAGTTTTTCGAGTGTACATTCATGTGACTTCTCATAACATTTTTCAATTTAGTCTTAAACTGACAGCCAGTGTGCGAGCACTCAATCCACGGTATGTCTGGATAGGCGTCGGGATGTCGTATCAGTTTATGTGAGTTCAGACACGACTGTGATTTCAACAGTTTATGGCATCCATTGGCTGAACACTTGAACAGCCGTTCCCTCGTATGAGTCAATTGGTGTCGAGTTAACGTCCTTTTGTTACCCGTTTTATACGCACAGCCCTCCCGATCGCACCGGTATTCTATGACAGGGTGAGCGGTGATGGTGTGCGCCCGGAGATTGTCGGGAGTTTGGTATTCCGCTGCGCAGCCAACTTGTTGGCACCGGTAGGTCACACCCGAGTGCACGTGTTTGTGACGCTGAACGGAGTTCCGGTCGCCAAATGTCTTATCGCATCCGATATAATCGCATCGATATCTACCTTCCGGTGTCTTATGAAATGCGGATCTCTTATGCCTTAAGAGTCTCTGATATCCTCTGATCCGTTGCCCACAGTTCGGGAGATCGCAGATCTAAACTTGTTATCTATACTCATAATCAATCTTCTTTCCGGCAATATTTAAGTTTAGGGGAACATTTCTTCCCAATGAAATTGAAAATTGTTCAGTGATATGCTTTTTATTTAGCTCTTACTATTAATATTAATATTAATATATAGTGGATAACATGAGAGAAAAAAGTTTGTTATTGGTAAAAACAGGTTATTACCATTTGGTGGATATAAATAATGTACAAATAATTTTACTGTTTAAATGTCAGATTACAATTTTAGTAATTAACTAAATTGTGAAAATATTGAACTAAATTAACTAAATATTGAATTAAATTAACTAAATAGTGATTATGTGAATTTATCTCACAATTTAGTTAATTTGATTCCCAATTATGTTCCCAATTTTACAGTAAAATATTAAAAATTTAATTTGTACATTATTTATATCCACCAAATGGTAATACTGTATTCAAACCTGATTTTACCAATAACAAACTTTTTTCTCTCATGTTATCCACTATATATTGGGGAGGGGGTTATGTTATAGTGTATGTACGCAAAAGGAGGGTTTATCTTAAATATTTGGTATTATTGATAAGAAATTATTGAAAGGATTAGTGTTTAAAATCTTAATCCACATCACATGAGTGAAAGTTTGAAAGCATTTCAATGTGTGAATGAATGAAAAACAAGTTTTATAAGTATATTGAAAG